TGGAGGTGGTGGTGCACAGATGAAAGTCTCCCTGCTATAGGACAACTGTGATTGTGAAAAATGCGTAGAAAACAGAGCCTCCCTGGCACTTCCAAGATGCACATATGGCAGCCTCAACGGCCAATGCACATAGGTTCCATGATCTCAGTCTTGGATTTCCAATGTGAAGAACTGCTCCCACCTTAGGGTGTGTACTGTAACTGTTCTGATTAGTGGAACCAAGAAGAATATTTGCCTTCTTTCATCTTTTCTTAGCATCAGTGATGTGGCAATACAGCAAAGCCCAGGTAAAGGCTGATTGCCATACTGTAGCTAAGAGCCAAACAACACATTACATTAATCTCATAGTTTGTCTTTCAGCGCAGGAGTTTTCTTCCAGACAGGATCTAGATTGGAACACCGGGGTGGGTATGGGTATGGGGGCTTTAGCTCTTTGTGCCCCACTGCATTCCCAATCCTCCTCACAACCCAATGGGAGCTTATACCTCCATGCAGGAGCAGTCCAATCCTGATATGGGACAAAGCAAAGGACAGTGGACAAAGCGCTAGAGCCCTTTCCCCCCCAGTGTCACCCCCTAGGTTGCCACACACACAAATGTTGCTAAACAGATTACAATACATTACATTATTTATTATACATTAAAATACCCACCCAACATGAGCTAGAGCTGGCATGGGGCCCAGACACTGTGCCAGGGCATGGCTGGAGATCACATGATGGAGCCACCTTGCTGAAACTAAGCAGGTTTAGGTCAGGGTCAGTGCCTTGATAGCAGACTGCATAGAAACCCCATCTACAGTTGCCTTGAGTTCCATTGTGAAATGGAATGGTGGGATATAAATGGGATATAAATGTACAAAAAAAAATGTACAAAAAAAAAAGACTACTATACTGAGGGCTGGGGACAATTGTTATATACTAAATTTGTAAAAATGATACACAACATCAGTACACAACTCTATACAATAAAACCTCCATGCTATACTGACATAATGGGGGGCAACCATATAAAGGTTGTATGAACTGCAAGAAGCAGGAGAGATCTGCACTTTTGCTAATTTTCAGGCCCAAACAAAGCATTCAAAAATATTCGGTTCTATTCCAGGAGACCAAATTTTACTAAGACTCCTAATAATAATTCATAGTAGTCAAGACCTGACTATCCTTTACACTGTGGTATACTGCATAAATTCACAAGATATATTCTGACAGATGAAGCATTGTTGAAAAGCAAGTAAAGCACTTTGTCCTTGAAATGTTAACATGTAATGCCATAAAGTATTCAAATAATAATTTACTCTATCTTTCAGGGTAATTAATTAAAATGCTCTGGGTGTTAGAGGAAAATCACCTTGAGCTAAAAAAATTGGAAAGTCTTCTCTTTTCCTCTCTGCACGCAAGCTGCTCCAATGGACTTGCCACATGCTTTTTCCAGTTATGGTTTTTGATTTCAGCAGATAATAAATAGCCAGGATCTAATTTTGCCATGTCAAAAGCGATTATGTTTCACAAGAAAAGGTGGAGTGCTTACCTACCAGATGAAGGTGAAATGTAAAACCACTTTTATTTATGTGATGTGTCCAAATTCAACTCAAGCTGGCACTCGGTACTGGGAGTGCATAGACTTTAACTGCCATGTGGATTTATGTACCCCAGGAAAATGTCAAATATAAACATAAATTTAATCAAGGGAATGAAACCTTTATTATCCAAGAAACAAACACAGTTTTTGACAAGTAATGTAAATTATCTTAATATATTTTTCATGAGCTTTTGTTTTTGCCAGAAGGTCAAAGGAGGCAACAAAAATGCACTGCTGATGAAATTGCTTTAAGCAAAATGCTGTTACTGATATATTCCAAAAAGAAAACAGAAAAGAAAGAAAGAAAGAAATCTCTACTCTGTAGCAATTGTACTACAACTCAAATATCATTCTGGTCTCATTCATTTCAGTGGCATAAAACTGAAAGCTTACAACAACAGATCATTGAGAGCTATGTATTATTCTGTGGTTCTCCTCAGTTGGGTCATTTCTGGATGGTATTTTAATGGTTACAAAGAAAATTGTACATGATGAATAAGGATGCCATTCTCAATTAATACAGACAAAAGATCACAGCCGTATTTGGCAAATGAGGTAGTTTTTGATGTATGCAAAGCAAGACAATTCAGAGTCATTGTCACATACATCACTGCCTAGAGATATAAACAAGTTAATGACATTTTTGTGCATTTGCCCAACTACATGACTGCACATTTGTCTGGCAAGCATTTATTAACCCCAAATTAAATAGCATGGCTGCATCATATATTTACTTTAAAAATGTTATTAATTCATGCAGCACTGAATATTGATACTCCCAGTATATAGAAACTATTAAATAACTGTGCATTCCTTCTAAAATGAAAGAGTAGGCAGTATTTACATTCAATCTACAGTCAATTGAGATCAATGTAAACATTTTCATTTATTTCATACAACCACAAACAAACCACATCGCCTATAAAACCTGTCTGCATGAATATAGGCAATGGACCAAGAACAACTACTATAGGGCTCTGCTGTTGGGACAAAATGTATTTAGTGACTAAAAGACCAGGAGACCTATAAATTTAAAGGTTAGTCATTTAGCTCACATGGAGCACACGACAATATGAATGTGATTTGGGAAAATGCATGTTGTGCTAAAAACGTGCAGAGAAGTAGCTGTGTTAGACAGCAGAAGGACCTTACAGACAACCTGTTCATTCTTATTTGTCTCCAGGAAGGTTAGATTACAATGTGTTATCCTACAATGCCCAGCAAATCTCCCAAAACTATCCTTTTCACAAAAAGGTCTGTCTCTCTTTTTTTGCAGGACGCAGGTTCATTGTGCAAGGTCTCTTAATCAACAACAACTGCATAACCTGAATTTGCCACTACAGTATATGATTGAATTCCACCAGAAAATACAGGAGTCTCCCGACTTACATGTGACTGACTCACGTGCAACCACGTATACGTGCAGTGCTGGGAAATAAATGAATAAAATCATACCAGGAAATGGCAGGAGAGACCCGGAGAGTCCTTGTGGCTCATGAGGAGATCTTCCCCATAGCCAGAAGAGGACATGAGGGTGGAAGAAGCCCCAAAGAGACTGGAGGTACAATGGAGCTTTGTTTCAACTGCTCAGACTCCCTGCCTGGTAGCTGACATGCAGGGTAGATTTTTTTGGTCTGGATTGAAGAGTGAGCTGGAGAGCCAGAAACAGGCGAGCATTTAGAGGCATTTTATAGGATGCTGCTCACATGAAAGGTAAAGGACCCCTGACAGTTAAGTCCAGTCGCAAACGACTCTGGGGTTTCGATGCTCATCTTGCTTTACTGGCCGAGGGAGCCGACGTTTGTCCACAGACAGTTTTCCCCGGTCATGTGGCCAGCATGACTAAGCCACTTCTAGCGAAACCAGAGCAGTGCAGGGAAACGCTGTTTACCTTCCCACCAGAGAGGTACCTATTTATCTACTTGCACTTTTTGGCATGCTTTCGAACTTCTAGGTGGGCAGGAGCAGGGACTGAGCAATGGGAGCTCACTCTGTCGTGGGGATTCAAACCGTCGACCTTCCGATTGGCATGCCCTGTGGTTTAGACCACAGCGCCACCCGTTCCTCACTTACGCTATTGTAACTTATACGCATGGGGGCCCAGAACCTAACCCCTGTGTAAGTGGCAGGAATACCTGTAGTGAACAGCCAGAAGGTGCCCAGAGAATCCTGTAGTGCTTTCAAGACCAACAATTTTGGATGACATAAACTTTCATAGACTTGAGTTCCAGGCCACAAAGTTTATGACATAATAATTTTGTAGTGGACCCTCAGGTTACGTTATCTTCGGGTAACGTAACTTTTGGGTTGCAAATGCTTCAAACCCGGAAGTGTATACTTTTGGGTTTTGCCACACGCGTATGCGCACAAGCGCTCTATCGCACCACACACATGCACAGAAGCAGCGCCTCTAGTTGCGGACTTTTCGGGGTACGTACGGACCCCCAGAACAAATTAAGTTTGTATCTGGAGGGTCCACTGTATTATTATTTCTTGAGATGCTAAAAGACTGTTTCACTGGAAGTTATGGAGATTTCTTCATAGATAAATTCATTCATTCATTCATTCATTTTTAAAAATACTACCTTTACGCTTTTAGTCTTAACAGCAGCTGTCAAGATATGAAAACAAAAATTACAAAAGAACAAAGAACAAAAAGTAGTCATATGAGAGTAACAACAGAAACCATCAAGGAAATTCAAACAAAAGTCATTAAGTGGCATGGTCATCAATACCATAACAACAAAAGCAGTTATTTATGATCCAATAAAAACAGCTGTAATAAAACAAACCCCTAAATTGTAAGAACTGGAGAAGGAACAACCTATTTAGCTATAAAGGCCTTATAAAACAATAATAGGACTGAAATAAGAAGGCATTCAGAAGATTTTCCGTGATTTGAGAATTTTCAGATACTACTAGAGTATCTGAGAGCAAATCATTCGTTAAGGGAATGAACAGAATTTGAGAAAGTTATTTCAAAGACTTAAAAATATGAACTATCTAAGATATATAAATTGCTGTTGAAATATGAAAGCTAAAATGAGCAAGTGAAAGAATAACTAGTAAAATGAGAACAAGATGTTGGATGTAATATTTCCAAGAGAGTCTGGGAAAAACTCTGAAATAAAGCCCTTAGGTTCTCATTATATATTAAGGTGTTGTCAAGCTGGTAGCTAACTCCAGTAACAATCAATAGAATAAAATGTACTCTTCAAAAACATGTTGGAGGTGTAGGAAACAACCAGGAGGCTAGCATTGTATGTGTTGGAAATGTAGTACAGTAGTGGTTCTGAAATCCACCCCCCCCATGGACCACTTGAAAATTGCTGATGGTCTTAAAGAACCACTTAATGATTTCTCTGCCTTTTGTTGCAGTTGTAATCCACTGTGCTAGATGCTGTTTGTTTTGTATTGTATTTTTATTGCTTCTTTTATTTTGCATCCTGTATTTTATTGAATTACAATGTGTAATCCATAGAATTCAAACTGTAATACAGTAAAATACAAGATGCAAAATAAAAGAAGCAATAAAAACACAATTAAAAATAATACTAATATTTGACGCCACATGCCATGAAACATGAGAATGACGCTCATGGACCACTGGTGGTCCACAGTTTGGGAACCCCTGCTGTATAGTGCACAAATACCGGTATTGTGGGAAAGCTACAAATTTAATATTTAACATATTGGGATACCAATTAGCACTTCCCCCATTATTATTATTATTACTATCATTATCATCAATACAGAACATCTAGATTTGACTTTGCATTTGATAGTTGCCATATGAGTTTTGCTCATACAGGAATAGAGGTCCCCAGTTGAATTAAACATTAGCCAAATGGTTTGATAAACTTTGGGATTTTGCTCTAAGGTCAAAATCAAATAGATTATATTTTAATTTTTAATCCAAGGAAATAGGACAGGGGCACAACAATTTTATTGCAAAATGGAGTCCATTTTTGAAATACTTTAAGAAGAACTTATGCTTCCTTAAAACACAGCATAGTTTTGATTTTCATTTTTTTTGTTCTTTCTACTCTTAATTCTTTATTACATTAATTGCCACAAAAATATGATACAGTATAATCAAGCAGCTTAAGAAGTTATGCTAGGTTAATTTTAATACTTAGAAATCTGTTTGATATTTTCTGTATTTTTTGTTTTATTTACAAAATTTTATCTTCTGGATGATAACCTTTATGTAAATAATACTGAATAAAAACATTAAAGTTATAAACAATAAACATTTTAATTTAATTTATTTGTACAAATAGATTTTTTTCCTCTTTTTAGAGCAACAGACAGATATTCCCTTTAACAAACCAAAAATGAATTCATAGTTTATCATGAATGCCTCCCTAAGGCTTTCAGAACTACAAAAACTGACAACCTATTTCATTGACTCATAGTTTTGCTTTTCTCATAGTTCTGGACAGATATTTTGATGGATACAAGTATTCTGAGGAACCTGCCTTAGGCCTGACAGTGGGATTAGTTGATCACTGTCTGCTCACGGCATCCATGTTTTGGTGCATTATTCATTTCATGTCTGCACACACACAAGTAGGACCTTTATATTAAAACCGCTACACACAGCAGAAGCTCCTTTCTAAAGTTTCACTGGCAACTCCAAGAAATGCCTATTAATAGATATGAAGAAATCATAAATTAATGGGAAGGCTTTCCATCCTCTGCTGCTAATTCAGGTAAGACAGAGATGGTTTTCTTGATCATGCAAATTGATCCATCCTCTAGGACTAAGTCAAGCTAACAATGACAATCCAATGATGGGTGTTTTCAACTATGTCATGCTCAGAGTGGGCTCAGTGAGGTTAATTGGGTTGTGTTAGGATTAAGTTAAATCCATTTGTTTCAATGGATCTAGTCTGACTTAATCAAATACCACCCAGTGCCTATCACCAGCTTCTGGTCCTCAGAATTATACCGCCCCTGAATATGCTTTAGTAGTAGTCACAGATAACACTGTTTAGTGTCCTCTGCTTGTAACTGCAGGCATGTGTCAATGAGGTTTACTGGCTTCATGGACCTGGTGCTTGTTGACTATGGAAAAATTGTGGTTTAACTCAAGTGGTGCAGTTCATCTCACTGTGGCATGGGAAACTAGGTGCCCAACAACACTAGCACCTGCATAACAGGCATAAGAATTCTGGGAAACTATTTTAAAGAAAAACACAACATTGGTCAAACCTCCTTAGAAGAAAGCTACAAACTCTTTGCAGGTTCCAATAAAGCATCTATTTGCCAATAACACTTTGGTCACAGGTTCAAGATATGACATTAAAAAAATTGTAGTATTTAATTATTTAATAGAATCCTTAATAAGATGTGATTTACGTGTTACATTAAATGTTACAATGTATGTTAGGACACTATGTCTGCTCCTGAATAAAATTAAATTCTGACAAAATAAAGGAGCTTGTAGACAAAAGTTCCTTTAATATTTATGAATAAGGTCTTCAGGAAGAAACTTGTGACATTAAGATATACTATTAGTGCTAAGTTTTCTAAAATCCCAAAGCTATGATGAAGCCAAGGAAATGGCTAATATAAAAACATGACATATACTCTGCATGCGTTGTTGCATTTAAACATATTGCAATAGTGCAATCTGTCCATCTCAGCAACACACTATTTCATCTAAACAACTAAGTGGACATAACCCAGAGCAGAGAGCTTTACACTAAATGCAATTATAAGGAAGGAACAAAGACCACCAGCACTTTGGAATGACTCATCCAAAGATTGCCCTGCATATGAAGGGCAAGTTTTAAACCAGTGAAGTAAGAAAGATGTTAAAGAGGTAATTCTTAATTCAGAGATGAATATTAAAAACAAGAAAAGGGCACACACTGTACTGAACCCATCCTCTCCCCCCTTCTTTTTGACATGAAAAGTAGTTTCATTTTTTTTAGTGAGCCAACAACTCTAAAGACATACATAGCCTACCAAACTGTGGCTAGCATTGTGTCATTTTCAGCTATTTTAAGTGCTGGAACATTAAAAATTCAAAAACAAAGAGAAGAAAGCATTTTATTGGCACTGAACTCAATTTAAAACACATGAAGGTAAAAACAGAGAGATGAGATTGTATTAAGGAAGAGCTACTGACAGCCATCAGTGGTCCCAAGCAAACAGAGTGTTTAAAATGCAATAAGAGCTCCCGGAGTGTATTTCAATTCTTACAATAAACCATTGTGAAGGTGTAATCATAATCTAATTGCATACCATGTTAAGAAAATATAGGGTTTGTTGAACTATTGTAAGCAAGGTTGGCCATAATTACTTGCAAATATGTTTTGTCAGGTAATTGCTTTTTAAGTGGACTTCATCTTTTGAAATGAAGACATAAACTACTACTAAATTAGCCAGGCTACTGTGAACAGAGCTTCTTCTAAAAATATACATATTTTAAAAATAATAAATTATCATAAATGATATTATCTATAGATGAAATAAAAAATGTGTTAAAACAGATATTTCATCAGTGAGGTATAATAAATAAATGTTAACTTTCAGTTGTATTCAATTGGGCAAGGGCTTTTGATTCAGTGGAGAAGATGTTTTTGCAGATTCCACCTGTGGTGCCCAGGACTCACAAGAAAATCTGGCAGTTTGGAAAACCCTCTAGAAAGAGATTTTTGAGGCCATGGAGGGAGAGGTATTGCAAAAAAAAATAAAAAATAAAAAAATCACCATTAGGGGACACCTCTACTGGCACAAAAGCCCTAGAACAACGAAGTGGATTTCACTACTAGTGAGCTATCTACAAGCTATTACAGAAGGCAGAGGCATTCCAAGGATATTGTATTTACTGTTGGAATTCTTGGAAAGGTCAGTGTATGGCATCTCACAATAAAGAATGGACGTCTTCTTATTTAGTGGCTCTGTCCTATAGACTGGATCCCTGAATGCATTAGGCTTTTATGATTGGATACCACTAGAGGTAGGAGGAGAAACAATTCACAGCATACCATGCATGGCATGCCACTGATTTTGAGACACATGTTGCAGTTTTTTAAAGAATGATGGGGTATTGGTGGTTGGTGCTGGGAGTAAGGTCGCTCACTTGCATTGTTTTGGGCAAATGGCATCTCAAATCCTAGCCAAATGTACAAGCAGGGAACGAAGGCAACAGCATACTTGAGATATTTACCCAAGAATCTAGTATTCAGAAGTACAAGTGCAACTGCAACAGAATGCTACAACACACGAGTGCTTCCATTCAGTGTTCCAGTCAGAAGACTTCACATGAAACATATTTCCACGCACTTTCTTTTGGAAGGTGCTTTTCCATGCTGTAATTTACATCACCCACTTACAATAGTATATCCAACTATATACTTGCAAGTATAAACAGTTTACAAGCACTGACTTATGAAAGTCAAATTTCTTCCCAGCAGGCCCAAAATGACTTGTATGAAATTATTAGAGTGTTGTACTGCATCCAACTCTTCTGGTTCAAAACCCTGACTCTCTGACCAATAAACAAAACTATACTGTTGTATCAACTGGATAAATATGAGATCGTAACAGCGTTGTGCTAAAAAAAATATGGGCTAACTTCAGCTTTCAACTAGATGGCTGCAGTTTTCAGCATAGACTGACTGTCACACTGAAAAGCATTAAAAATGAGCCCTTTCCGCATCAAAGTCAGGGGACGCCATGAAAGAAAGTGAAGACAATGAGAGTATGCTGTAAAAAGCAACACACATTTAACTGAAGTTTCTTCACTAATGGTAATTTTACCTTCCGTATATTTACCTCAGTTTGGTGAGAACATAGCACAAGTTAATCTGACAGCATTCTCCTGAATGAATCACCCAGGATTATTCCCAGGAACACAGATACACTGCAGAATGGTACAGTAATTCAATGGGTTTCATGTTTTGTTTTGTTTTTTAACAATTTGTGATGTCCTGTGAGCAAACCGTGTCACAGGCTTGTTTCAGTTTTTCCTGCTGGGGATTATACACAAGCAGAGTACAGACCAGAAGTTTTCATCACAGAGAAATAAACAAGGTTAGCAATGGGATGTGACATCCCCCTTTCCTTGCTCCTGTATATGTAAACAAAATTTCTATTTTTACACTTGGTATATAAAAAAGAAAAAGCCAAATAATAATTGGTTCATTCATTGGCAAAGGCTACATTCCTTAGTCAGAAGTAAGCATCATTAGGCAAAACTAGAACACATTCCTAGAGTCCAGGACTGGTCAAACATCAACAAAAACTTTACAGTGGTACCTCGGGTTACATACACTTCAGGTTACAGACTCCACTAACCCAGAAATATTACCTCGGGTTAAGAGTTTTGCTTCGGGATGAGAACAGATGAGCGTAGCAGCAGCAGGAGGCCCCATTAGCTAAAGTGGTGCTTCAGGTTAAGAACAGACCTCCAGAACGAATTAAGTACTTAACCTGAGGTGTTCCAATTATGTGTTAAGTTACTGTGTGAGAGGAAGCAGTGTGGAAAGCATGCTAGTTCCTCCACCACCCTGTACGTTCTAGT